TTTGTTTTCAACCGCAGCTACCCAGCCGATCCCCATTTTCCTTCTTTCTGGGTTTTCAGTTGGGCTTAAGAGTGACCCGTCGGTATAGAATGCCAATTTTTTAAACCCTTCTAGTTGTGTTGCAGTGCTTTTTAGCTTTTCTTTTATTTGGGGATCTTCAAGGGCAATAAATATGTATTGTTATAATCGAATAGGATAATAACACACTATTTATTAGTCATAGATATTTTTAAGCATATTTCTAGAGCGTTATATTAGGTCCAATGTATTGTTTTATATGTAAATCACACCCAAAACCAAAAGCTTAACACTGCCAAATCAAAACTTACTGAATTTGCCAAGCAATCATTTTGTTAATTTTTTACTAGATGTTTCTAATTAAGACCCTAGCATCGCTACCTTAAAAAATTTTGCTAAACAAAATTTTGCTGTTACGATAGGGTTAGGTTTTGCTATTAAGTCAGGCTAGAAAGGGCTTTCTTAATATCGAAATTTTATAAGAGGAACTTTTGGTTAGTATGCAGAAGGAAGTTTTATGAATAAAATGTTAAGCTATAAACAATTTTTTAGATTGTTTTGATTTTTATGTTTTTTTTGTATTACACCTAATCTTGAAGTCTGTTTAGCTTGCAAAATTTTTTAGAGTAATGACACGAGAGTGGTTCTTTCTAATACTCCAGATAATCTGGTTAATCTGTTTCGGATATCTGACCTAAAAGGATGGATATCCAGATATGGCAATGCGGATAAATAGATAACACATTTATCCAGATTGAAACTCTACTTTTTAAAAAATCAAATACTAAAAATTTTACTTTTAAATACAAAAAGGTTGAGACTTAGTTGAGTTTAAAATACAAAAAAAAATTTTTATTTGTTTGAATTTATAAAAAAATATAAACTCTTTAATACTATAAATTAGTTTTTTTATTAGAATTTTATAAATTTTTTTTTTTTTTTTTTTTTAATGTTAAAGGTGAGACCTTGCTCTTATCTTTATTAAATTTAACAAAAACTCCTTAC